GTTGTTGAGCTTCGCTCCTGAAGATATTACATATATTACTACAGCAAATTCTGAATCAGTTCGGGATTCCGAACTGATTCAAGCAGCCTGATAACATCGATCCTTGGAAATCCGTTACAGAACTCGACGCATATGAAAATCTAGCATCCTAAGTGCTAATAATTGCGAGTTCAATTAATACTGTGAATGTTCTTGAGCTTCGCTCCTGAAGATATTACATATATTATTACAGCAAATTCTGAATCAGTTCGGGATTCCAAACTGATTCAAGCAGCCTGATAACATCGATCCTTGGAAATCCGTTACAGAACTCGACGCATATGAAAATCTAGCATCCTAAGTGCTAATAATTTCGAGTTCAATTAATACTGTGAATGTTCTTGAGCTTCGCTCCTGAAGATATTACATATATTATTACAGCAAATTCTGAATCAGTTCGGGATTCCGAACTGATTCAAGCAGCCTGATAACATCGATCCTTGGAAATCCGTTACAGAACTCGACGTATAGAAAAATTTAGCATCCTAAGTGCTAATAATTGCGAGTTCAATTAATACTGTGAATGTTGTTGAGCTTCGCTCCTGAAGATATTACATATATTATTACAGCAAATTCTGAATCAGTTCGGGATTCCGAACTGATTCAAGCAGCCTGATAACATCGATCCTTGGAAATCCGTTACAGAACTCGACGTATAGAAAAATTTAGCATCCTAAGTGCTAATAATTGCGAGTTCAATTAATACTGTGAATGTTGTTGAGCTTCGCTCCTGAAGATATTACATATATTATTACAGCAAATTCTGAATCAGTTCGGGATTCCGAACTGATTCAAGCAGCCTGATAACATCGATCCTTGGAAATCCGTTACAGAACTCGACGCATATGAAAATCTAGCATCCTAAGTGCTAATAATTTCGAGTTCAATTAATACTGTGAATGTTCTTGAGCTTCGCTCCTGAAGATATTACATATATTATTACAGCAAATTCTCCTCAATTTTCCTTCAGCTTGTAAACAAAAATGGAGAATTTGAGAGGAAGAGATATAATTATTAGGCTCGATTGTTTGCCGATTGTCAACAATTATAGAAACGAGATTCATGGCTCGAATAATCGTACCTCCTCTTTCCAAATTGTCTATTTTTGTTTACAAGCAAAGGAAAATTACGGAGAATTTACTGTAATAATGTATGTAATATCTTCCAAAAATTGTCCATTTTACAAGCCACCATTTTTTACAAGCTGCTGGAAAATCGAGGAGAATTTACTGTACATTTCACACAATTCTGGAAATAAAGTGTAGGAAGTTCAATTTAGATCTCGACAAAATCTTTGCGTGCTGCAACAGTAAAAATGGCGACTGGAAAGTTGAACTTCGCTCGTGAAGCTACACAATGCCTCAGAGAAGACTCTGCAGAACACTGGCATCGAATAAAGGTGTAACTTTCAGCTCAGTTACTAGGATGGGAATGACTAAACGGTAAAAGACTACAAAACTGCGATCACGATCTTCGTCGGTAATAAAATTTCTCTCGTGATACAAACGAATTAGCGAACCTATTTACCAGATCTTTATGCGTGTTTATGGCGTTTATTGCGTGTTCAGATCTAAAAGATGCAACAAAAACGTGTAAATTAACAAGGTCCACTAGTGTTTCGATTTTCTTTTTGCAACGAGTAATCTTTCAATTCGCGTAGCAAGCTTTCCTCGAACTTCAATTTTTGTCAAGTGACGTCTGAGAATATGCTAAATCCGCAATTTATTATAATAAATTTTGCCCAATTTTCCTTCAGCATATAACCATAAATGGACAATTTGGGAAGAGAAGATACGATTATTCGAGCCTCATTTTTATTCGGCTTATTTTCGCCTTATTCGGCTCATTTTCATAGTCGCCGATAGTCAACAATTATAGAAACAAAGCGCAGGACTCGAATAATTAAAATCTCGTCTTCCAAAATTCACCATTTTCGTTTGCAAGCCGAAGGAAAATTACGCAAAATTGACTATAATTACGATACCTTCTTCCGATCACGAAGCTGCATTTCAAAGACTGAATCGCATTACGGAAGCGTTAGGCTCGTATTCGATGCGCGGCCTTCCACTTTCTTCAGCCAGAACCAACAGCTTGTCATCAGATTCTCGGGAACCGGAGAAGGACCACTCCTCGACGGCCCGTGCTTTCGTTTATTAGCAAACGGTCTCTTGAGTGACACTTTCGGTCTTCCTTATCGACATTAACACTTCGCGCGAGTGTACACGCGGTGCGCGTGCCTCGCGATCTAACGAGCTGGCGGAAAAGTGTTTCCACTTGCGCAATTTCAGTCTGTCCCACGGGAACCTAAGCAAACCGTCCGGTTTCCGGTGGAATAGAAACCAACGGGTGTCGGAGCCGCTAACTTCGCGGGGGTCGCGGGGCACGGGGGCATCCTCTCAGGCGATGCTTTTTCGATAAGGCCACGGCGTTTCTCTCTGTTATTAGATTCAGGTCACCGATCCGCAACAGGTGGCCGTGTCCGCAGCGTTAGGTTCTGACCTGGCTCATTACCGCCGCTCGGCAGCCGCGGATTTATGCGAGCCGTTTGAACGAGCTACTGTTCAATTTCGCCGCCTTCTGGTTCCCCGACGGATCCCGTGTACTAAATCCTTGGATTGTCTTGACCTCGATCCCAGAAACGGCACGGGAGGGCTGTGTGGGAATTTTTCAGCTCGCTCCTCGTCCTTCTTTCTTTCGCTTTTAGCCGGGAGTTCGCGAGATACCGAATTTCTTTCGCGTTGAAATATGCGTTCAAATCATTTCAAGCGCACAGTCATGCATCTGTGAAATTGTCCGTCTTTCTCTTCGACCGAAGTTCGAAGCGTACGAATGGTCGATGGATCGTAAAACGACGACGCGAAAGAGTATAGTGAATGGCAGGTGTATGAGCCGCGCGAAATGATGTTCCGACGTTTACCATTGTCACGGAATTCTAAAGTGAATAGCAGTAGAAATCGCCTAAAGTGAAATCTACAGAATGCATTTTCTTATGTCTTCGAAATAGGCTCCGATAAAAAAGTTGAAAAGCATGAGTCCTTTATACTTTTTATCATGTAAAATGATGGTAAAATTTGAAAAAACCATTATGGTCATTGTCTAGTAGACTCTTTTATCTACTATCCAAAAATAATTCAGATCGTTTAGTCGAGTTTTAAGAAAGTTATATCATTTTTTAATTATCCCAAAGTATATGATTTCCACTGTATCTCGATTTAATATATATAGCTCCGTTTATGCTTTAATATCCTGCTATTGAGTCTTCTCGTATATAAATAAACAAATAACCTGCCACGCATAGAAATCCCATTAATAATCATCATCTCTGTTCCGCCCATAATTGCAAGGATCAGCGACGAAAGAAAGAAGAGATTGGAAAGGTGGTAGTCGATGATCCGCGGAATCATCGGAAGAGATTCTCGTCAGACCTGTCTCGACTCGCTGACGAGTGATTTACGAGATGATCGAAGCACCAGGTGAGGAAAGCATCGTTCACGTATATCAACTCGAACTTCTCCGATCATTTCTCCACGATCCCGCGCGGAAGCGTTTTCGTGGCGCGACGACACGATTTTTCGAGGAAAGCACCAGAAACCCGCGAAGAAGGTTGCAGAACCGGCTTTCTCGTGTTGTCCGAACATTCCGGAATGTCAAACGGTTCGACGACTGACACGGTACGCGAGATGACGGTGATTATCGTGCCTCTCGGTGTGTTCCCTACATTCTGTGTTTTCACGGGTGTTCCAGCCGCGCGCGAACGGCGTCCTTCGGAGGATACGTTTTAACATACACCGAACCAGTGAATCGAGGATGCTCGATCGGCCCAGTGGCACACAAAGCAGAAAAAGACGCTGCCTTTTAGACCTTGTTCTCCACTTCCCAGCGTGTGGGGAGATGGGGAGGCGGAGCTAGCTTCGGAGACAGTGCTTTACTGGATCCTTGCGGAGCTTTGCCGGTCTGCCGAGCGATTCGTAATGCGTCTCCATAGATTTTACAACGCCAGAAACATTTGATCCTGCAATTGCGCGAGATTATTTCCGCGGCGCTCGAGCGTTTCATCTAAAAGCGGATTGTTTTCTTTGCTTCGTGAACTACTTATTTCATCAGCAACGTCTGAACGATCTAATTTTCCGACACTGCAAGACTATCTCGGCGCAGAAGCGTCGCATTTCACAGTTCAACGTTTTCTTTACCTGTTGAAGTATTTATTTTTTTAGCAACTCATCGAAGCTGCTTCGTGCAGCTGATAGAAATCAAATCGTAATAGAGAGAATTGGATAGAACTTTATTTTCTCCTTTGAACTCGAATCAGATTGAAGACAAGTTTTATAACGGAGGATTGGATTTATTTGAACTTCGTACGATTTTTGTTATAATAGACTGACCAAAAAGTTATAGCATAGACAAATTTTGGATAGAAATTGGACAACTTTGACTGAAAATAACTCCGCAAAAAATCATCGTAGGATCGTGACTCTTCTTTTAAATTATAGCTTGAAATCTCTACTTTAAGATAGTGTTTCCGGATTTTGAGTTTGATGCACTGCTGACGACTGTAACCCTTTATATTACAGGCGATCGTGGAAGGACGAAACAAACAGGGCAGAAATGATAAGGAACATTTTGAATCGCGTTTCCGGTTCGGCGAGTTAATTAACGCGAGCACAGCGTTAACAGGAGGCATTTTATTTCGCAATTAGCCCAATTGCTTTTCATTTCTATTGCATTGAAATCTGGCCTGGGATTTTTACGGTTGCGCCGCAATTATCGGTGACCGTGGACCGTGATCCGGTGTATTGTTCTTCATACTGCACGCTTTGGCGATGTTACACGCGTAGCCGCGTCCTAGCCGCGATCTATGAAGACCGATCCGGCAAAACACAGCCGCGCGAATGATCTTGGATCGCGAGCTGCATTCACGCTCTGTATGGCGTAACCGTTAATTACTTCTGCCCCCTATAAAAATGGTGAACTGTTCGGCCAGCCAGTCCGCGTCGAACATGCTTCGACGTATGATCATTGTTCTGCCGCTGTGCGGTCTTCTGGCGATTTGCAGCTGCACTGTCGTCCATCGGGACGTTTACACTGTCGCGTCGGTGTCGTCTAACTGCGGTGCAGATGGCAATTCTACTGCGTGCGCGACCGAAACGGGGAAAATCGTGACTGGATCCGGCCGAAACATGCTTAGAGTGTCCAGGAACCTTCAGGATCCTGGGAGTGATGATAATGAGGTTGAAGAGGGTGAGTTCTCACGTTCCCGCATGGTGAAGTGTGCGTCGATATCTCTGCAATTGTCGCCCAGTGGTAAAACGTCGACATCCTGGCAGGAAGTCAAAAGTGAATTTTACGGATAAAATGTTCCCATTTAGTGTTGCTACTTATTTTCGAGCAATCATGATGATCTTCGAATATTGATAATTTATCAAATTATTTGTTTTAATTATTTGTAGAATATTCGCTGACGTAGATCAGCTGGCAAAGGTGCATCGGTTAGAAATCAAAACGTTAGTATTTTATGTTGATCTGTGTACTCGACATTAACAAACAAATAAAACTTCAATTTTTGACTGATACAACTATTTGATTATGTTTTTGCAGATAATTTACTGCGCGATGTCTCAGTGATTTATTTTAGAATAGGGAATTTCCGTTTTGGCCAGAATTTCGGTGCTTTTTGTCACTCTGTGTCGCGGGGAGCGTACTTTAAGGAGAATGAGCCGATTTAGGTCGGACGTGTGAACTCATTGTCAGGGAATAATGGGAATGATTTGGTTGTTGGACTATGCAGTGTTTGGCAATGATTTTTTCATGTAATCTCGAAGATAATTGGCATATTCATGGTGTTAAAGTGGGCCTTGTTTGAAAGACGCGATGGGACTTGATTAGATTGTAAGGGGAATGGACTAGTTAAGGTCGGACCTCGAAAAAAACTGGGCCATATCGTTACAAGGTATTGTAAGTAGTAGTAATTTAGTAGTAATTTTCGTCCCGGGCGATTCACAGCGATATAACGGAACGTGGAAGTCTCCGTTTCGTTAAATGATTATTTAAGAATCACAAATTCGTGTTATATTTTATAACAAATTAAACGTAGAAAAATTAAAACGATATGGTAAAATTTAGCGAACGCGTGTATCTCGATTTGAAGAAGATTTGACAAGTCTTGATCGGATAGAAATTTGGCTGTACTTCGCAATTAATTAATCGAGCGACGAAACGAATTGCATCCATGGTAGGATGCAACGAATGTGCATTAGTTTGAAAGGGAATTGTTAGATTCGAGACAAATCTCCTGGAGAACTAGATAATCACCTTCATTCACCTCCGATTCTCACTCTTCAAACACGGAATTTCCGTAGAAGCAATTAACTCTTTAACAATGATTTCTAATCGCTTTCGTTTTAAGTAGAATTGGATGGTCTGGGTCAGACGAACAATGAGGAAGCACAGTTTCTTGGGAACGGCAAGATATTGCAGCACGAGTTGATAGATGATTATGCAGTTACGCGATGAACACTGTAGATTACCACGATTTATTGTCTGGCTCTTTTTCATGCTTCTCGGAAGCAATTATTCATGAAAGTGTTCCCGATGTAAAAAGGTGCTACAAACTCGCACATAATCACGAATCTGCATTATTTTCTGCGTACGCTTCGCGTTACGATGACACGGTTGCTCCAATTTTAAGGGGCTCGACAATTTCTGTAACACAAACGTCTCTCTCTCCCTCTTTCTTTCTCTCTCTCTCTCTCTCAGTACAGAAATATTTATTTATCTTTCCTTTTAGAAAGTGGACGGAAGAAGAAGGGCAGAGGTTACTGGAAGTTGTTGCTATACTTTCTGGGAGCAGGAAAGGTCACGATGCTTTACGTAGTTCTGAACGCAGTCGCTGCGATCGCTGCCAAGGCTCTGGTCGTTGCCAAAGTGGCGTTGGCGATCGCCACTGCCATCGCATTGAAAAAATCCAGCGGTACGTAAAACGCGTCACTTCAGATCATTATTTCTCCGTATAATGGAATCGTTTAATTCCTAGAACACAAGGAGAAAGTGTCATACGAGATCATCAAGCATCCTTATCACAGCTACGAGCAGACTCACAGCTCCAGCATCGATTTCGATAATCACGGATACGGGGAGGGCGATTTCGGCTACCGGAAGCGACGAAAAGTCCTCCAATAACGATCATGGATGTTCCACGAAACGACCTCGACGACATCATCTAATAATATCTTTTATAAGTAGTACAAACATACGAACGAAATGTCGCAATCATTAAAAGTTTCGAACCTTGTCCGACGCCTTTTACTATTTGATCTTGTTCGATCCGTCGTTTCTCCTCGTCCTCCATTTTGTTTCGATAACCGAGTAGTCTCTGCGATTACGTTAACTGTTTGGATCGCCATGGTCTACTTAGAACCCGAGCTACGAACACGTGAGTATAGCTATCTCGCGTGTTTATAGTTACGTCCGTATGGTATCTGAAAAGAAAAAAGGATCGGTAGCCTAGTTATCCTCGGAATCGTCCGACGATTAGTTAACTTTTCCAATTTCTCGAGCATTCCGCGCGCGCGCGCGCGCGTGTCATGGGATTATATAATTTACCGAGTTATGCTCACGAGATTGCACAAGTCGATCAACTGATTACTCGGACATCGTCGAACCATTTAATTCCCTCAATTACACAAATCAATTTTTCTGTTCCACATTGCTCAGAAATCGTTCAAATTATTTTTATCATCGTGGATAAAAATTATTTTTATCACCTCCATAAATCATAGAAATTCCTGTATCGTCATTACGCAAGGAAGTAACGTGGTTTCACGAACAATCTTTATTCACCGGTGGACAATATTTTACACAATATACATACAAGAACACCCTGCGGTGCGTACAACAAAATAAATATTAATTTTTGGTACAGCATAGCAGTCATATAAAATAACTACCCGACTACGACTAACTAGACTAAAAGAGCACGTCTTTAATAAATAAATACCGCGATAGCCTCGTCACACATTGCTCGTCCCGCGCGATCTACCCGTTATGGTATACGATACAATTACTGATCCTCGGATTTTATTGTACACGTACAAATGTTGGAAAGGTACCTCTATCCTTCGCACGGCTCTTACGCTAAATATACAATAAATTAACGCGGCAAGTTAAATGTTCTGTCAAACGATCTTTACGCGAATCGTTCGTTCAATTCAAGTGGGTGGAACACCGTCGATAGTCCTCTGCCATCCACCGCCGCCGCCGCCGTATCCACCGCCGTAGCTTCCATGGTGTTCGGATCCTGTCGCGTAGATCACCTCGTGACCCCCGCCACCGTGACCCGACACTAATTTCTTCAAACCGATGATGGCGCTCAGGACCAACGCGATCTTCGCTGTGAGCAGCGCCGTGCCGGCAAGGAACGCGATTTTACCGTACGCCAGCTGTGCCATCATTGCTGCAAGATCATTTCTGTCAGAACAATTGCAATTGGACGATCATCGATTGGAATGAATAGAATACACTCACCTCCCACTACAAGGGCTCCTAGAAGTAGGGCACCGTAACCTTTCCCTTTCTTCTTACGACCTGAAACCAAGCTGCGGTTGTGATATCTGCTAAATTGGACCTAATTATAATTCATTATCGTATCTGGGATGAATTTTCTCTGTCAAATTATTTTCGCGAGAATTTTTCTGCTATTCTCAAGCTCTCCGTAATTTTATTATTGGTCTATTTTATTTTATATTTTATTATTTAGATTTTGTTTACATCCTTTGAAGCTTCTAATGTCTTCATTATCAGTCAAGGATCATTTAAAAAATGAACTAAATTGACTCCATAATCTTTTACTCAAGCTTTTAGCGACTACACAGACTTTTTTACTCATTTCTTGCATAAATCTTCTTCTTTAACTCTTCTATCTTTCATACTTATAGGTGAATAAAAAAGACTTTTTTCTCTGAATAAAATATTAAATATAATGATTCCACCTTTCCGTTCTAGAGCTTCTCGTGACAATTACCACCAATCTACAAGGATCAAGAAATTCATTTTTTCATTCCATACTAACGAATTCTACCCTCTCTGCTTCCAGACGTTTTCCACCTCATTCGAATCCCTCGAAAACGCTCCATGAAAATCCCGAAAATACTTATAGGTGAATAAAAAAGACTTGTTTCTCTGAATAAAATATTAAATATAAAGATTCCACCTTTCCGTTCTAGAGCTTCTCGTGACAATTACCACCAATCTACAAGGATCAAGAAATTCATTTTTTCATTCCATACTAACGAATTCTACCCTCTCTGCTTCCAGACGTTTTCCACCTCATTCGAATCCCTCGAAAACGCTCCATGAAAATCCCGAAAATACTTATAGGTGAATAAAAAAGACTTGTTTCTCTGAATAAAATATTAAATATAAAGATTCCACCTTTCCGTTCTAGAGCTTCTCGTGACAATTACCACCAATCTACAAGGATCAAGAAATTCATTTTTTCATTCCATACTAACGAATTCTACCCTCTCTGCTTCCAGACGTTTTCCACCTCATCCGAACCCCTCGAAAATCATGAAAATCCGGAAGATAATCTCGCACAACTCACCTTCGAAAGCATCGCCGGGAATAGTAAGCTTGACGCTCCTAGACGATAGATACTGATGGAACTTCTGATCCAACTTCTGATCCAGGCTCAAATCCGTCGCGTTCTCTTCCTTGTGCCCTCGATCGTCGCTCCTGGCAGAGACAGCAGGATCCTTGGCGATCGATACGTAATCGTTCAGCACGTACACCTGGTCATCGTAGATCGCGGAGTCGAGGATCTCCAGAGCCCTCTGTTTCAGGCAATTGAAGGCGTTCTTCTCGCTGGCGCATCGGTCGAACAGCTTCGTGTACTCGCTCTTGCTCTCGGCCAGGCCGATCGGCGCTGACAGACAGAGGACGAGGACGAATTCCAAGAACCTGGTCCTGCTCATCGTGTCCCGAACGAGCCGCTGATCTGTTTCCCTTTGAACGAAGATGGCTGGGAGACCGGCCGCAAGCTGACCGCTCGGAAAAATTCCGCCGACTAATTCGTATTGTCCTGTCGCGACTCTTTTATAAGGGTATTTCCCGTTCTCCTACCATCGACCGGCGGCAGCGGTCAGTCCTGCGATGCCTGCTCACACCTGATCCACGCGCTGTTTAACGCCTCCTACTACGGAAGGATTCCTCAACCAAAACATTGTTGTACAGCCCCGTGAGTAAGTACCCCTATGACCCGGTTGCCTAGCCAAGCCGAAACCGAGGCGGCACAAGCCTCGACTGTCCATCCGAGCCGCCTTAGAACCGTGAACGCCGATGCTGCGGCAACAACTGTCCTCTCGCCGTTCTTCTTATCGGTTCCCCATTGTTGACGTTTCGCCGGTGGGCGGGCAGGACAGCAAAGATCTAATTTCGCGCCACGGAAACGAAACTCGTATTTTAGAATAGGAGAACAGCCTGTCGAAAATATTTTTGCTCGCCGATCGATTTAAATTGCATTTTAATTCGGCAAAAGCCGAAATTAATTTTCGACGGTATTTACGCGATTGGAGATTGAAGTTACGATTATCGAAGCACACGTTTGCAGTGGGTGCATTCAACTTGAGGAAATAGGATCCGAGCTGTTCTTTATTTCGCAGCGAAAGTCACCAGCCTGCGCATTCGTTGGCCTTCCGTTTCGCTCCTCCTTCGATCTGAAGATGAATCGTAGTCACGCGCGATCCCGAATGCTACAAATCGCCGGCTGCTTACGGATTAATTAATGCCGGCCAGGTACTGTTAATCCGGCACAGATTACGAACCGTGACGGACCAGTTCCGACGAATCGCCGACGCATTTACCTGGCTGCGAATTTTTATGAAAAATTGTCCACCGGCCGGTGCCGCGGAAATCCAGGACGATGATCGTTGTTCCCGGCTTTCCCGTGGCCATGCAGTTCATAGAGATTACTCTACTTTTTGCAAAGGAGACACTCATTAATATCATTAGCCGTAAAACTACGGCAATTGCCTGGAATGCGTTAACAATAAAAATGGATCCCCGTGGTTCTCCTGCTTGAGGGAACGCTTGCATATTCATTCGGCAAGTTGCTATATCGATGTTTCTTTTTCTCGGCATTTGATGGCCGCGCGTTTACGGAGAATAAATGGCAAAATTACATCTAATTTGAGCAGTAAGAGTCAATTAAAGTGTAAAGGCGAAGTTGATTATCGCGTAATAATGTTGATAGTTTCAGTGAAATATTATACCGAATATTTGCATATATTTCATGGTAAGCGTTTTTTAGACTTTCCTTGATCGGTACAATTTTATTGGCTTTCCAAGCGGTGCTTGATACAAACTGAAAAAATATCCACGCTATTGCTCCAAATGATCGTACAATATTATTGATATAATAACCTTGACATGTTCATTGAACTTTAAGGAAGAAAATGTCAGCATATACTGCACAAAATAAGTACACGCTATTATCGATTATCTAAAGAATGTTTATTGAATTACTTCAAAGAAAAAGGTCAGTACAGAGTACAGTATCGTACAGAATAATTGCAAAATACTCTGAGAAATATTCATCGACGTGTCTCCAAGAGAATAATTTACGATATCGCAGAAAATAAACGCGCAGTCATTGCTGTCCCCCTAAAGAATGATTACTAAATTATCTAAAAAAAAAAAACGTCAATTCATACCGCACAAAACAAATATACAATATCCTTGCTGCAATAAAGAATGTTCACCGAATAAGCATAATAACAGCAATAAATCTCGCAGAAAATAATCAGAAAATATTCTCGAACCTCGGAGAAACATTTGTCGACAATTTGACAGCTCTACGCGCCCAGAAACATTATAAATTATTACAGATGATCCGCGAATGCTTCCTAAGGAGCACGAAGCCAGCTAAAACGGCGCAGAACGAGAAAATAGAAAATTGGATTGGTTTCGAAGAAATCGTTGTCAGCCCGCGGGGGCGGAGAAGCGCATAAACTGCGGCGGTCGACGACGGTCCCGCGGCGGACCCAGGGACCATGAAACCGTGGCGGAAAACAAGGAACTTTTATGGTCGACTGTCCCCGACTGTAATGTATGCTCGTCTTGATTGTTACACTTGACATAACGAACGCGCGTGGCGGTACGAGTGGCCACGGGACCGTGGCGACTACGCGAGCATTGCCATTTACGAGCAGAAGCATTTCCCGGACGCGTTTTCTACGCGTTTTGCCGCGGCTTCCACCTTCCTCCGCGGATCGAACTACAGTTAGACGACCGACGATGGAGACACGAATAATGGAGGAAACCTAATGGATTCCCGGAGTGAAAACAGGCCGATAGTTTCGTCCGGAATATGCGAAATCGATAGTGAAGAAACATGGCTCCGCTTTGCTTCGTGTCTCATTCTGCAAAGTTGAAGCGCAGAGATAATTGATTTCGTGTGCTAAAAACGAATCAAGAACGATGCAGAAAATGGGTGCGCTTTTATTAGAAATCTGATCTTTATTTCTTTGAATTTTCCTGTGCCGCCGATGCATTCCGATTCTTAGGTTAGGTGACCCATTTCGGGTCTCATCTTTTATCCAGCATCTCAGTGATCCCAAATCTAATATTAAATAATTTTTATTTAATTTTGTGACACCGATTTGAGTCGAGATTCTTAGGTCTAATTTCGAGTCTGTGCCGACGGATGCTATATTTGAGATCGGAGCTCCGTAGAATCGATTAAAATTAAAGCAGGCTTAAACCATGCAGAGAAATAGGACAGCTCCTGTTTATGTACTTGACAAAGGTACAACGTGGTCTCTGCGTCTCCTCGAATTAATTGCATCCGTCCGCCTCGTCGCAAACCGTCCATTTTCTCTTTGCTTTGGCCGTTGACCCACCATCGAACACACCCCCGCTTTACTTTTAATCCAGAACTGTCGTTGATATCCTTCATTTAAATTGAATGGAGGCCATTAGTGGGAACGCGCGTTTCCCCACGAAGCGGGGCAAACGAGCCTAAGTGGTGGGGTGTGTGGTACATAATGGAAGCGGAACAATCGGCGGAGGAAGTATGAAATCAGGTGTGGTTGCGCACTGATTGTGGGTCTTTCCTCGAACGAGAAACTTAGATACCTGCAGGATCGATCATGGATACCCTCATTCTCTACATACAAAGATACCATAATATTGCTAGTAATACTTCCGATCGATTTTATAGTCTTAATTCTAGCGATCCACGTCGTACTAAAATCGAATCCTCGCATCGATCACAGCTCGTTCGATGGTCCCAGGTTCTCTTCAACTAACATTCGCCCACACAAAGTTCTTTCCACTTCTCTTGTTCTTCGTCCCGTCGGTGTTATCGTAGACGTCGACGACCTCTCTGATCACGTGCTGATTGTAGACTCCTAAATCGCCGGCTTGGTGTCCTCTGTAAGGTCGATATTGGAAATTGTGATGATCGTAATAGGGATACCCTGCGATCGGGGTCTCTTGAACGTGCGTATGGAAACCATTGAATCCTCCTGCAGGATAGGACGCCGAGGCTGTCGAGAATAAAGAGTTCCAGCCTAGCAGACCGCTGACGAAGAGGGCCAGCTTGGTCAGGATCAGTGCTTTTTTCGTTACCAGCAGCAGGAACCCGAAGAGTAGAGGCACCAGGGAGACTAGGTTGAATTTGAACCCCAAGAGGAAGGGCACTAGCAGATGTCTGACCATCTGTCTTCCTGCAAAGGGATCAGAATTCGATCAGTTCAAATGATCTCAGATTGATTATGTAATTTACTAAATGATATGTGAGAGAGAGAGAGAGAGAGAGAGAGAGACTAGCTACATAGTAGATCCTCAACGTGGATGATGAGGAAATTTAGCGGACGCTATAATTTCAATTTTTAGCCATTTTTCATATGTATTGTTAATTCAACTGTTTACGATTCACAAATTACAAGTATCGAGTACAATTGGGAGCTGACCTACTTTCGATCGTCTGTATTTTTACATTGACAATGAATATTTGTGAAACGGTAGCTAGATTGGAAAATTAATAGACGCTACAATGCTGCTTGGTTTGTCAAAGTCATGTATTCTCGAAGGACAAGGTTTCAAGAAATTTTCCAAGGTTCTAGAGGCCGAGGCGTTCACCATCAGTGGCCTTGATCGTGCTGCCTACTGCAGGTGGATCCGGAAACCAGCAGGTGAAGAACGTCTCAGCAAGGATGCGAACCTTGATGATCGATGGGTTCGCTTCCAAGCTTATGGGACAAGCTCGCAACTCCCTCTGTAATATTTTTCACCATCCATTCTCTTGCCCCGGATACTTTAGAAGATTGAATTGAGTTATACCATATAGAAAATTCGGGAATATTTAATTCAAAGTAGCATTTTCATGAAAGTGGTGCTGAAAGGATCCTCGAGATGTGAAGGATTAAATATTTAAATATTGGATAGCTCAAACCTGCTACCAAAAAATCCAACCCTATCACTTCTCAGTGCTGGATTCACAAATAAATTATTGTATAATTGAATGGAAGCCCCTCGAATTAGGATCTTCGTTGCATGTACATCGAACACAGTGGCTCGCTAAATTCATCTCACACGAAACAAAATAAAACGCTCACGTTTCTTCAACTATTTTATCCGAGCCACAGTCCAGATTTCCATTCAATCATATAGATTCTTCTCACCTGGCCCAAACTGCCTATCAGCGAAGACAGCCTGTCTATCATTCAGCACGAACTCCAACATTCCATTTCCATTCAGCATCGGACCAGCTCGAAGCTGCAGCCCGGGATACAAATTATCCAAATTCCACTTGAGACTCCTGCGCTCCATTAACCTGGTCGCGGCTTTCACGATGCTACCGAAGTCCTTCGGATCGTAATCCCAATCCAGAAGATCCCTGCCGAACCCATCGGCCCTCTCCAAACGAGCATCCCCGAACTCCAAATTATCGTTCTGATTCAAGCCCTGCAGAGCGCTTAGGGCCCCTCTGTTCACGCATTCGATGGTACCGTACTCTTTCCTGGCCAAACAGGTACCGAAAGCTTCTGTAAAACTCGCGGGATCCTCCGCGTTCAGTATAGGCTCCTCTTTCGGCTCCATGAGGACAGTGATCCCCGTGGAAACGAAGATCAACAGACAGAAGCTACGCAATTCGCGTTTCATGGCGAACATCGGGCCGGGCCCGAGAGGAGGACCGTGGAGAAAGTCGATAAGGTTTCGTGTAAATGAGATGAAAGTCCCGTGCGTTGAAAGGAGAATGCGTAATTAAGCCGATCGCTCCGCTCTGGGAACAGATAATTCGCATTGTAGACGATTCCAGGTCTTATTTCGAGATGCGCGTGGCAGATTGGGAACTGGAAATGGCTCTGATTCTTTAGTGGGCAACTAATTATCTTGTACGCGGTGCTTTCGACTCGGAAACCACAATGAGAGAAGCATGAATCCGAGTTTAATGCTGTTCGTTGGTTAGCTGATCAAGTTCTCTTTCGTTCTTGATTGGCTCGATTGCAAAAAGTAAAGTCGGAACTATCTTTCTTCGGTAATTCAAAATTTTGGACATACTATATCATCATTTCCATATTCTTTCGGCGTTTCTACTTCGGTTCAAATGGTACATGATTATCTCAAAATTTGCTGTTTAAGTATAAATACGAAACGGTTAACATCCTTACCAAAAATATGAACACTGGATCAAGCGAATCGCTTTATTTTTACCCCCAAAATAAAAGTGTTCCGCGGAACACTCGAGAATCAAAGAATTGAAATCGAGAACTGAAAAAATGAAACGAGATCGATCACTCGCTTCATCCGCAGAACTTTCTGACAGATTCCAGCTTTTCGAGGCCCGAATCACTTTGTCACGCCCCTCCATCCCCGCCTAACGCGCCGGCACATTTTCTTCCAGATCGACGACACCGGTCAAGCAAATCTCCGCGGTGCACCGCCGACTTTTACGGCGAAAATCGCGAGACGTCGCGGGTGGCAAGAAATGCGGCCGGGTACCGAAACAATACTGTTGATCTAGCGGCCGTGTTCCGGCGGCTATATAGGCGTCAAGGGGGCGTTCACACGGGACGGAACAATCGGTTTCACTCGACGGGTTCGGCGAGCAGCGAAAGTCCGCGTTTTCGCTGGGCATATTCGGTGCACGGACCCCCGGATACGGCGGATGCACCCGGAGAAGAGTGTAGCGATCCGTCATCCGGGGTCCGAGATCCCGGCGACTCGTTACCCCGTCAAAAGCCTGTCCAAGGCCTGTCCTAGAACGAACGAGGAGAAACTCCGTCGCCGGTAAAAAGAGGATCGGGGAAAAAGATAACAGTGGGACAGCGAACGGAGCGGTCAACCCGGCTGGCAAACACCGGACGGTGTTAACGCGATTACAAGCAATTAGCACGTGCCCGGTGAAACGCATCCTACTGGTGCCGCAGCGGACAATGGGTGTTAAGCAGGGTATATAGAGGCTGGTCGAGATCGGTAGTAGAGGCGATTGTATAAAATTAAGATTTATTTATAAATAATGCGATAAGTTACATGGCAGCCCCGGCTCGGGACGGTATATAAATAATCATTGGAATTAAATCTGGTGGACCTGGTGCAGGTACTGACTACGAGTCCGAACGCGTTCGGCCCGGGATCTCCGAGTGAGATCGCTCCGAAGCGTCGACCCCTGAAGGGATACCGCACTAGGGGGTTGTTACGGGGGTGCGCGGCTACCACCATTACACTGTTCCTCGACAATAAGGAATCCGTCCGATCTGTCACCGTGGTGGCCGGCTAGTGCCGGGTCCACCGGAAGAACCGTCCAAGCTAAATGCGTCGCGTCGTCGATCGTCACAGTTGAAGGTCCGTCACGTTCGGTCACTGGTCACGTAATATGCCGGCGTGTAATCGTCTTAAACAACTAAACAAGTCCCGGTCCAGGTCGTGGGTGATCGTGTAGGATCGATCGTTGGATCGTCCGTCGGTTTGCACACGGTGCGACACGTATGATAAAGTCCTCGAGGGATCGAGACGCGCAGCCCCGGTGGGTGATCGCCAGCGACTAAGGACGATCACTTTGGCGAACGAAGGTAGCGAATGTGTGAGCGTGGTTGGATGATGCTAGGCCAGCCGACGGAGTTACTCGGATGGCTTGTACGCTTTGTACGCCAGATCGGAGCCAGCCGATCTTGCCCAGCCGTGGTGATCGTGGTGTTCTTCGTGGCCGTAGGAGTGGACCGGATGGGCGACCACCTCGTAGCTCTGGTGCTTGTTCGCGAATAGCTTCTGCAGCCCGATGATGGCGCTGATGATCAACGCGATCTTGCCGATGGCCAGTGCTTTCAGGGCGAGCAGAGCCAGGGCACCGAGGGCGATCGGGATGAGTGCGGCGGCCTTCAGTTTCAGGAGCAGCAGGATCGGCAGCAGGGACTTGACGATCTTCTTCTTCTTGCCGCGGGCTGCAATCAGAGGCAACGCGATTAGATTCACGGTCTGTTAGCTAGCAGAGTCGAATTTCGGTGAAAGAAGAAAGCATATTCGTAACTTGACTCTGATATATTCGTACTGACTCTAAGAAGCAGGAGGATTAGTATCGAAATCGAGATGGTTACCTTCGTCGAAGGAGCGAGAGACCTCTTCGGGAATGCTGAGCTCGACGGTGTGGGTGGAGAGGAACTTGGCGGTCCTGTCGAAAAGGGCCTCGTTAATGGCTGCTTCCTTGGCCTCGACCTCGGCGGGGAGGGTACTTTCGATGTCGTTCAAGGATCTGGCGTTATCGGCACGGCTGGAAAGTAAAGTCCTCCTGTGAGCCACCGCTCGTGACGATCCCATCCGTCGCGAGCGTTTCGGTAACGCGAAAAGCGGAAAAGGATCCCTCTCTCATACCTGTCCTTGGCCTCCTCGGTCTGCACGATCTTGAAGCCGTCGAAGACGTCGATGTCCGCGGACCGGGCGGCCCTGTCGACGAAGCGCAACGCCTTCAGCTTCAAGCACACCGCGAGGTCCTCGCCGGAGCACGAGGCGTAGACGTCCAGGGCCTCTTCGAGGATCGAAGGCTGGGCGGCCGGATCCTGGGTGGCCGGCGCGGCGAAGGTGCACGAGGCGAGGAGCGTTGCGATTACCGCGTACTTGAACATGTTTTCTCCGGGTGAGGTATTCGAGGTTTACACCAAGTAAAACCAACAACAACCAACTTGGACGAGCGGGTGAGACTCCTGGTGGCTCGGGTGACACTCCCAAAAAATTGGACGGAACGCTCGCACCGTAACTCGGAACAACTGCGGCGATCGTATCGACACTGACCGAAAGAATCACGATTGCTGCCTTTTATCCTCGTCGCGAAAGGGGCCCGCGTACGTTTTTGAAATTTTGATGGCCCCCACCGGTCCCCGAGAACCCAGGGTACCACGGGCCCCCTTCTCCCCCGGCCCGTCGCCCGCGTTACAACCCGTACGAGCTATTGGTTCTCCTCGAGGCGGTCGCGTCCCGTGTTCCTCTCTGTCGCGCGCGGCTTCCGCGCTCCCCGTCTCTCCTCTTCGGTCTCTCCTCTCCGATCTCTCGCTCTTCGGCCGGACCCGCTCTTCGGGCCAGCCCTCTGTCCACGTGTGCGTACGCCGCCGCGTCCGCGTGTGCGTACACGTCGCGGTTCGCACACAGACGCGAGCTGGGCCACCTCGATGACCGCCCCGATCCTCCTCGAAACGAGAAGCGGGGCCCACCTCGGGAGAGGGAGAGTGGAAATCGCTGGAAGATGCTTGCCCACGCGTCGCTGCCCTTTTCCAGCCGCGGAGATTCGGGCATCACCGGACCGGCAGAGACGCGCCGGCGCGGCTCAAAGCCGCCTGGAACGCGGATTCCAGCTGCGACCGCTTCCGGTAAAAGCCGACCAGACGTCTGTGCACGGCCTCGAGAGAATGGACCTGTACATTCATGGTCGCGCACGATTTTTCGGGCTGCGCATTCTTTTCTCGACCTAACTCGCGAGAGTTTCGATGGTTGCTTCGAGCTTCTTAAGAGAAAACTGGAATGTACGCTGTACGTTTCGTAGATTCGATCATCGACTATGTGTAGGATACTTTTTTCTTTCTTTTTCCTGATAGATATCTGCATTTTATTTATTTATTCACAGGAGAACGCGTTAGCGGAATATTAAGTGTAAATCATATTAAATCAAAGTATGTAGATATAATAGCTTAATAGGGAGTATATAATAAAAATTGACGAGAAATTACAAAGGCATATGATATAACGATTGCTTAATAGAGTGATAGAACTGCCTAAACGGATCGATTATTAGGTTCGCCTTATTTACAGTAATAACAATCCATAATGTAGTGTAATGAGGCTTGGGACTGTCCAGTCGCGAGTGCAACAGTGTAAAATTTGTAAAACGCTCTTAGATATCAGATTTGTTAAGCTCTTGCAGTTTTGAAGTCATCGGCATACTTGATTCCATTTGGTTTTTGTGTCCGACATGTTTTTCGAGGTTGTCCAATTTCGTTTTACGCTTCATCGTGATCGATATACGATGAAACATACCATAAGTATTAGGATACGCATGTGCAATTGCACTTGAAAGAATTAGCTTTTAAAAAAGAAATAATCGTTGAATTTTGTCAATTGCAGGTTCGACGGAGTTCGATGGATATTTGATAGTAGACCGGGTCAAACGGGCTAGACTTTAGTAGTCTACAGATGGCTAATATAAAAAGAGAGCTGCAGAAACGAGGTGTCTCGTTTCGTTCGGAGACACGTGGAGAATATTTTAAGGATCGGATATTCAAGGTCAATTATATTCACGGAGGACTGTTGACATTGAAACTGAACTCCGCGTGGCACCGTAGGGAGCGTCGTTAAACCGCCGATGAATGAAGAAATGATCGACATTTATGCCTGTCTTTATGCCGGCGATTATCATTCGAGCCGATGCTTCTAGAAATTGATCCCCGAAAATCGCCGATAATCCGCATTGAATGCAGAGTAATTTTCACCGGCGACAGAATTTGCATTGAATCGGGTATTAAAATTTGCATCCGTTGCGTCGACGAACAAACACGGCGTGCGGCCGCTTTAATTCCTCGAATTAGCATCTTGAATATCGAACGAATCGGAAACAAAAAAATGAAAGAAATCTTAACACACAAAAAAGAGCGCGCGTCGCAGATCGTCGTCGCGGCTTCGTAAAAAAGTGTTTGAAATGTAATGACTCATTCACAAAACTCCATTTCGTTCGGATAAACGCCGCGATGATTAACGATCTTCTTCCAGCGTCCATTAGCTCCGCGGCAGCTTTCCCTCTAAGAGGTTCCCATGGTTTCACGCATAACTTAATCTGCTGCGGGGAAAACTGGCCTACAGCACAGAGGAAAGCCGCGGCGACGATGATATCAAGGATATCCGCGGCGGTTTCGCTTTCAGCAAGCGGTATAATACCTCGTTGTTGGTGTAGAAGCTCGTTCGAGTGTCTCACGCCCCCGCAACTTTCCTTGCCGCGCGGCCTCCTATCAAACAGGATTTCGTGTGTTTTCGAGCCTCGCGGAGTTTCCACGGCACACATACCCGGGATTCCAGCCGGACCAACGATTCTAGACGAAATCTCCTCGCCGCATGTCCGATTATTCGGAACGGTCCCGAGGACTTTTCTCGCTAACTGTAATTCGCAGTTAAGCCGCATTCCCGGCGATCATATTCTCTCTCTCTCTCTCTCTTTCTTTCATTCTTTCTTTCTTTCTTCCTTTCTTTCTTCCTTTCTTTCTTCCTTTCTTCCTTTCTTTCTCTTTTCCGACCTCTTCCTTTCCGTTTCTCTGTCTCCGTCGGCCGAGCATCCCATTCATTCGGATCGAGTGTCATCGGCGTTCGGGTGGTCCTCCCGGGCGGCCATCTTCGAGATTAATATATTCGCGCGTGCGTCGCGAGGGAACGTTTAACGGTTTTTCATGGAATGTCCACGCGGGCCGAGTTGGGCCCGCGCCAGCGGACCCCGTACACCGTGGAACTGGCCGCGCCTCGGCCTGACCCCGAAGACGTCTCGCCTAGAAAAACAAGGAGAAGGAATGGGGAAAAAGATGATGAGAGGCCAGGACGAGGAACCGGCCGTTTCCGATCGTGGCTGAACGCCGGACAGCCGATCGCCGGCCGCGACTTTCTCCGCGGTCGAAGATGGTAACACGAGGTTACCTCGAATTTCTCGATCCTACGTCGGACGGTCCTCTTTTACGTCTCAATCTGCCAGTTGCTTTCGGGGTAATTCGGCGATTTACCAACGTCGATAGAAACTGCGACGTTCGCGAAATGTCGATACCGCGCCGAATCCGAACGCGGCATCCATTCGGAGAACGTGAATTTTAATAACAATTATGGCCGCGTGAGCCTAAAAACTCGTATATGTGTTATTTATTTATTTATGTCTCGATTGTATTTATCAAGGATAATTTTGACGCCTGTAAATTTGTACGAATTTCATTTTATCTAATACTATTTATTTCGATTTGACGACGATAAATTCATGGAATTTGTATAAATAAACTCCACGAATTTATCGCCGTCGATTTTACTTTATTATAATGTGCGAAGAAATGAACTAAATATCAAGTTACGCTTGTGCAGAAGCGACGAATTCAAGCGGCATTGAAATCACTGGTGCACCTTCTTGATCAAGCGTTGAAGTCTCCAGCGCACTTTCCTTACCGCGCGTTGAAGCCTCCGGCGCGTTGATTGACTTAGCCTAATATTTCTTATCTTTTATTATCCTACTCTCCTAATCTAATCTTCCAACATTTATCGACTGCATTTACAGTTCTTTTTTAATGATTTTAACAACTGTTTAAACCAATTTAATTAAAACGAGGACATTCGAAACGAATAATGAAATCAGTCATTATACCAATTACAAACTTACGTATATGTTACCAATTACATTTATAAAGCTGGTTAATTCGAGGATTAGTAAAATTCGTAAATGATTCCTTGAACAATCAACTTTGAAAGATCGTTTCATGTACACGTTATAAAATATAAATGCAACGTCTAACCATTGTGCGTCGTTTCTATTGTTCTAAATTTTCTCGACAACCAGAGGCTTCGAGTAATAAAACTATATTGTATTATTATCCAGCGAATAATATTTTCCACGTAGAATCCGCGTAATTACAAACAATTCTATATACCACCACCGTTCGCAAGTCTAGCATGAATACCAAACAGAAATAAACCGCTCGAAAAGCGGCGAAGGAATTCGCCGGAACTTTCACGAGTGGCCGCACGCGGCCCGTATCGAAAACCGACGAAAGTATATTAAGTTAATTACCCCGGTATGATAATAAGTTAACTGAACCACCGTGCTCATCGCCCGAAAGAGGCTGCACGCCTGCGAACGAGTTCTACAAAATCGTCTACGCGGTCGAAACGAAAGTGTCTGCGAGCGCGAACGAAAAGAAGAAAAAGAACAGACGGAACAAAGAGAACGCACAGACACATACACGGACACACAGAGACACAGACACACAGAAGGAAGAGAAGAGAACCGCGCGGCGTTACATCCCGGCAGAAGACTTTCACTTTATCCTCATCCGCCAATGTCAATTTTCATTCGCCTCTTTTTTTTCCTCTCGCGTGGCTGTCTGCGCGCGCGATCCATGGATCCCAGGATATCGATCGAGCAAACTAATCGGCGAACCGTGTCAGCGGCGTTTAAGCAGCACGTGACGACCGGACGACGGGAGGTCGTGGATGCCAGGCGAGCCACGAGCTATTCTCGTGGACCAAAACGCTAATCCCGATGGCGAAGCGAGCCGGGCAAGAGCTGGACGAGCCTGGTAATGGAACACTTTCCTCTCGACGACGCCGGCGAGAGTGAACTCGCCCGAGGATCGAGGTCAGGTCAAGGCCCCCACGAAGCGAAGCCTTCTCGGTCTCCTCCTCGTCTCCCCGTTCTTCTTCCCCTTCGTGGTCTCTATCTATGATCACGAAACCCTGATCCGTTTCGTCATCCCGCGATTATTTCACGTGCTAACTCTTTGCTCGTTCCTTCGATCATTTCCTTTAGCTTCTTCACGGGTCCTGTATTTTTTCGTTCGTTACTTCAACGTTCATTTTTTTCACATTGTTTACTTATCTCGATCGATTATTTTCTCTTTTATGGTATCTCGTTGTTGTATCATTTCTCTTCTCTCTTCTTTTCGACGTGCAACTTGTGCGATGTATTGTTATACTTTTCTCCCGTTGATCAAATAAATATTATTATTATTAAACATCGTTGAATCTGTTCTACCTCTATTTAAATTGTCGAAAAAATTTAAAGCATTTCCAAGTTTCTTTTCAAATGCGATTTCCAAGTTTTTTTGGAGAAGACATAACCTGTATTAATCTTATAAATAATTAAAGAATTTCAAATAATCGACAATGTTTACTTCGACAATACCATTTAGAGACGTGTCGAGTTGCTCGCATTCGTTGTTCCCGCAACGTGATTAATTCAGCCTCGATCGCGGCCGAAGCATTCTCAGCGACATCTTTTGCAACATGCCGCAACTCTCCACGTGTTTTCTGTATTTATAAAGAGAAACTTTTCCGGTATAAATAGACGGATATAAAAAGATCATAATTGAAATCCGACCGATCGAAGCCGTTCCCACGCGAGTTAATCCTCGTTCGGTAAGGAAGTTTATAGACCTCGCATGTTGCGAAAGAAAGTGGTCGGAAGTGGGTCTCCGAGATTTGCGAACGAACAGGTGCACACGCGGCGCGGCGTCTGTCCTCGTGATTATCATGATCCTTGCCGCGGAACTACTCGCGGTAGGAAAATGTAGTACATTAGTAAGCGGATACGCAATCCACGAGCATGCTTCACGCGCTTACAATTATCCTCCTCCTTTTCTCTCTCCTTTAGAGAAGCGTCGCCCGGAGCCAGACAAAGACGGAGCCGCGCAACTTTCCATATACGCTCGCGGTATGAATGAATGATCCTCCTTTTTTTCTCTCTTATTTCGTTTCAGTGACTGTTCTATCTTCTGCCCGCGAGGCCGCCGTCTTAAGCGAAAATTAAAAGGTCAATTTTCCCGCGGATCTCTTCCGTGTAACGCTTCTATCCACCGTTCCAAGCACCGGCGTCTTAACTTTCGAGGATTCTCGAAATCCAAGCAGGTAGCAGACACTGATTTCATAGAGATCCTATTTATCTCACATTTTATAGAGCTCGAATTCGACTGACTCTTCCGTATCTATTACTTGTTGAAGCATCGTCGATTCGAGTCAGAGTGGACGAAACGTCCTGTACAATAACGTCGAATTCGAGAACGCTTTACTTCCCACGACGCGTCGCAACAACGTCCATTCATCGCGAAAATTCCAGGGCACACTCGTCGGTGATTAAATCGCGCAGAAGTTTTCTGAAACGCAAGAATTCTCAGACGTCTCCGGTGCGAGAAACGCGAGCGCCGAGAGGCCGGCGCGATCGAGGGTAGCGCGTGTCGATATCGCGGATAAATATACGGGTGTCGCGAATTTCCCAGAGATCTACGGAAAGAAAGCGGGCGCATCGGCCGTGTTTCCATCGGCACGATAATTGCCACTAAGCCCGGTCCGTCCCACTTGACACGGCCGTCCTACTTTCGATCGATCCCGGCCGAATCGCGCCGGCCAAATCCACGGCTAATTAGCGGCGGAGCTTATCGTCTCCTCTATCCTGTCCCCCGGGTTCCCGTCGAAGGATCAAGTTCTCTTTACCGTCGGCGAACGAGGTGAGACGAGGAACCCGCGTGGACCAGGGGGACGACTTTCGGAAGTCGAGAAGGGCCTCTCTCGCGCGGCATCTTCGGAACGGGACCACCTGACCCGAGGTGTGTTCGAGGATCGATGAACCTGGACGCCGAGGTTCTGGTAGGGAGATCGATCGGTGGACGAGGGGCTCGGGTGGAGGGGACCGACGTGGCGGCAGGGCCCCGACGAGAGAGGACACGGAGGACAGAGAGACACGCTCTCGGCTTTTTCTTCGGGATGGTAGAGAGTGTTAGGCGCACCTTGAAAAGGCTCAGCGCGGATGCTGACTGGCCTGGTCGGGTCTGGTCGGCCTGGTTTACTTCTCGGACAGACGTGTGGGCCCCGTGTACGCTCGTACGAGCCGAACACACGCGTGCAACGCCGGGTCCCCGATGGCAAGTGCGTAAGGTGCCCGCGCGTTTCCAGTATGTAGGTAACAAGACTCTGCCTCTTCTCTGCCGCCTGCGCCGCGCCGGCTACTCGGCGACCAGCGAGCCGGAAGTGCTCTCCTGGCCTGCATCGAACGAGATGCCGATCGTCCGTGGCGGTCGCTGCACAGCTAATCGACCTTTCTAATTATCACGCTCCGCGGGCCCCTGCTCTTCCGGCAAGCTCTATTTCCGCCGTGCCCTTCGCGCGGACTCTTCGTCCGTGAAGCTTCCAAATGAACCAGGCCCTCTATCTCGCCACGATCGCGCGTCACGGTTTCATACAATTTATTAAAATGCTAGGAAGAATTTAGACTTAGGTCAAAGTGTAAAGCGTAAGAAAAGTACAGGAAAATATTTTTTATTAACAAATCGTCTGTTATCTAACAAAAAAACTCCACGTGTTCTTGACGTGTTCGCGTCTTGACACGTTCGATTGTCATCGAGCCCCACGAGTAAACACGTTTCAATGCACGTGCACAGACCTGCCAGCTGTTACGGTGTTTTCAGGGAAGTTGATACAATTCTAGATCAACGACTCACGTGTGCGTCGCCAAGGTGCGAACAGGTTACAAAGCGCGACACCGTCGACAGCCCTCTTTCCTCCGAGCCTCGAGCTGTAGGAAGACGTCGCAGATCATAATGATCGGGATAGAAGAATGGGCTGTTGGTAGCTGGTATGAATCTTAATATATTTGCGTATCTATAAATATACATGGCTGCCTCGCAGCACCGCGGGGAACAATAAATAGTGAGGATGACGCGGAACGGGCGCTCGCGGTGTCATGGGGGAGCGTAGACGCGGGTGTGCGCGGCGACACGGGGATTCGTGGAGGCGAGATATGGGCGAGTAGCGGCGCCCGTGAAAGCGAAGTCCGATGAGATTGCGAAGTGATGTTGACGCGGGGCCATTGTTTTTCCTAGGTCGACGCCGGCTTGTAGGCGGAGTAGGCGAGGTCGTGGCTCGACCGCGCCCATCCGCTCGACCCGTGGCCTCCGCCGACTTGGACGACCTCGTGGCCATGATCCCCGCCGCCGGACACCAGCTTCTTCAGGCCGATGATCGAGGCGAGCACCAGCGCGAGCTTGCTGACGATCAACGCTTTGCCAGCGAGCAAGGCCAAGGCGCCCAAAGCCAGCGGGACCAGGGTGCCGCCGATCAGCAGGGGGATGGCCAGTAAGCCGCTGAGATTCTTCTTCTTCTTGCGACCTGGGAACCAGGGAGAGCTTAATCAGACTCGGCCTGTCGAGCGTGAATAATCAAACAGCGACTCAATCTGTATTCGTCGAATTCGCGATACTGGGCCATCCGGTCTACTGAACCAAGAAATTGTGTCCGGATGACTGACTCGCGTAAGTCTATGCCTGTCCCGTCGACGACAGCGCCGATCAGCGCACTCACCTTCCTCAACGAGGCTACGTTGCAGCTCCTCGACGTTCGGCAGCTTCAGCTTCAGCGTATGGCTCTGGAAGAACTTAACCACCTTGTCGAAGATCATGGTGTTCAGCGCGTCCTCCTTGTCGTCCAACGCTCTAGGCAGAGTGACCTCTATCTCCTGGATAGACTTGGCCGGCTCCTCGTTGACGACCGGGTCGTCGCGAACGAACGTGACACCGTCGGCCACGTTCAACTCGATGCTCCTGTACATCCTGTCCACCGCGGACAGCAGCCTGACCTTCAGACAAGGGCTGAGCTCCTCGTCGGCGCACTCTTTGTACACCTGGTAGATCTGCCGCAGGTCGCCGAACACGTTGCTGTTGCCGGTCGACCTCGCGGTCTCCTCGTCGATGGAGTTGGTCGGGTTGGTCTCGGCCGACCTTGCCGAGGCCGTGGCCAGCAGGACGGCGATCAGGTACGCGCAACAGCGGCCAAAGTGTCTCATCCTGGATCAGCTGTAGCGATCTGCGGCGGAGAGACGCGCGTCGGCGTTGGTGATCCTGTTTCGTTGTTCGCGAGGTAGAGAGACGCGATCGATCAGAGATCGGCGGATATATATTACCTACCAGAGGGAAAATCAGCGGCGCAGCCCGATGCTAATCAAGACGACGAGTGTCCTCTCTTCGGAGCGTCTCTCCTTCCCGATTACAACCACCGCGACTCGTTAGCCCACGCCGCGAGATCCGTGCGTACAGAGAGCACTGTAACTGGACTGTCCGTAACGGAAGCCCTGCCCTAGCTCTATATATCTGGTCAGGTGTACCTCCGTAGCTGGCAATATTCCTCCCCACCCACCGGCCGCGTACGTACGCGACCATTGTGGGAGCATTTTCATTGCCGAGGAACACCTGAGAACGGATTCCGTACCGCAACCACCCAGGAATAGAGAGCAGAGTTCCGACGGATCCAGCCCGGAATTCGTCCCTCCTTCACGGACCACCCCACCAGACGCGCCGATAAAACCGGCGATCACGGCGAATCGTTTCGCTACTCGCCGACGAACTCCCCTGCCCGGTGTCTCTCCCGACGAGCTCCTAATCCGGTCGAACCGGATCATAATGCCGCCTGCATTTCTGCATAGACCGCGCGACACGCCGCACTCCTCAGCTTCCGCTCGCCGCCGCGTCGCGCATCGCCGAGACCAGACGAGACCAGCCGAGCAGCCGTCTCGTGGCCACGTGCGCGACCGGATGCACCGTGTCCTCTTCTCCATTCTCGCGGATCCTCCTCTTTCTCTTTCTCTCTCTCTTTCTCTCTTTTTCTCTCTTTCACCCTTGATGTTGCCCGCGATAAGCCTGAAATCGAAAGCGACCGGACGCGAGCGTCGATTTAGAAACAGGAACGCGTCGACGTCGAGGATGCGCCAAGATCGGGCAAGGACAGTGCCCAGAAGCGTTTCTACGAATGTTGACAAACGGGATCGTGGGTTTTAGCAAAGAATCAAACGAAACTCGCATACCGTTAGAGAGACGATCCGCGCGCTATCAGACGACCCGGTTAGCTTTTCCCCCTTATCCTGTCTGCTCGCCCGAATCCTTGCCGTTTTCGTCCTGCCCGGCGACGACGCTGGTCTAGGTAACTAGGTCGCGCCAAGTGAAACCACGTAGACACGCGTAGGCCTTGCCGGAGGGTGGTCGGAGAAGGGGGATATCGTTCTCCTGATGTCCGCGGACGCAGTGAACCATCGAGAACCACCGAGGCAAGACTGAATATTTCGGGGGGAAGTGGCCCTGTTCCGGCACGATTTCTTTTCGCCGTCTTTCTCTCTCTAGCTTCCATCCTGCAGCCTCGATATGAATCACCGATCGGCCAAATTCGCCGGCCAGGATCCTCCGAGGATCGAGCGGGCTTCTCTCGGCCGCGTCCGACTGCGTAGATCACGGTGAATCAGCGGGTCCAGTCGAAAAGCGGTGCAGGTTTCGACGGCCTAAGTTGGTCATTCGGTCTCTCTCTCTCTCTTTCTCTTCGGGTTCCGCCAGGCAGACTAGATTGCGGTGAATCGGTGATCCGCCGAATGCAGCCGCGGTCGATCGGACAAGCTTGCGAGATTCTCGGGGGATCATTAGCTGGTCATCGGCTCAGTCTAGATCACGGTGAATCAGCGGTACAACCAAGTCGGATATTAATACAGATGAGATGCGAGGACATAAGTTGGTCATCGGCTGTCTCTCTTCCTCTCTGGCTACCGCCAGGCAGTCTAGATTACAGTGAGCCAGCGATCCGTTGAACTCAAACACCGATGCAGACAGCTTGCAAGGTTTCGAGAAGGTTTCATCGAGGGTAATTAGTTAACGCCGAAGTCGATCAAACGTGCAGCTGGACGTGATCGATAGATGTTTGCATCTGTCTCGGGCTTCTGAAAAGAGGTCTATCGATGGACCAACCATGCGGTTTGATCGCGAAGATCAAGTTTGATATTGAAACGTGCATGTCACGTTCTGTTTCCACCTTTGAAGCCACGGATCCGGATGCGAACTGCCGGCAGGTTACAAGACTCGAATAACATTGTCGATCGATCATCGAACATGTTTAATTCTATCAAACATCCGCGCGCGATCTGTCGATCCTCTGACTCGGATCGACGATACAGACAGGTTACAAGGCTCTAAGAAGATTACCGATAGATCGGACAACTCTATGGACCACCCGACGTCTATCATGGATTGTGACTATTGTCGGTCACAGACCCCGTTAAATCTGCTACCATTTGAGTTCAGATGTCTTATGTTTGACCATTTACCAGCATTTAACACTAAACCTACCACGGTCAAAATGACCGATTTTTTATTTTACGATACTACAAACTTTGGAGACTTCTTCGTGGAAAATGATTGAATAAATTATATTNTAATTAGTTAACGCCGAAGTCGATCAAACGTGCAGCTGGACGTGATCGATAGATGTTTGCATCTGTCTCGGGCTTCTGAAAAGAGGTCTATCGATGGACCAACCATGCGGTTTGATCGCGAAGATCAAGTTTGATATTGAAACGTGCATGTCACGTTCTGTTTCCACCTTTGAAGCCACGGATCCGGATGCGAACTGCCGGCAGGTTACAAGACTCGAATAACATTGTCGATCGATCATCGAACATGTTTAATTCTATCAAACATCCGCGCGCGATCTGTCGATCCTCTGACTCGGATCGACGATACAGACAGGTTACAAGGCTCTAAGAAGATTACCGATAGATCGGACAACTCTATGGACCACCCGACGTCTATCATGGATTGTGACTATTGTCGGTCACAGACCCCGTTAAATCTGCTACCATTTGAGTTCAGATGTCTTATGTTTGACCATTTACCAGCATTTAACACTAAACCTACCACGGTCAAAATGACCGATTTTTTATTTTACGATACTACAAACTTTGGAGACTTCTTCGTGGAAAATGATTGAATAAATTATATTATTGAAACAAGTCTCATAATTAAAACTTTACAAGATCCAAATGAATTATATCTTTTCACTCTTATGAGTCAATGCAGATTAATCATCATTACAGGTCGGTTGGTTTAGTGTTAAGATGCTAAACGGTACCATTATCTGTAGCGAAATTTCAGCTCTGTTCGGATTAAACGCGTCGATATCATATCTTCCTTACTCGCGGGACTCGTCGCACTCTTCTCGGCGAATACAATTGTATCAATCAAATTATATTATGTGTAATTACACTATATTATATGTAAAAAAAAAGTATTATAAATAGATCGACTTATTTTGTTACGAGACTACTTTCAGACAAAACATCTTTAACGTCCTAACTGCCTGTAATTAATAAATCACAGGTACAGTAATGTCTTCCTAACTGACGCTTAGATTGTCCACAAAAATGGACAATTTGGGAAGAGGAGACACGATTATTCGAGTCTTGCGCCTCGTTTTTATAGTTATTGAGAATCGGTAATTATAAAAACGAGCCGCAAGATTCAAATGAATCGTATCTCCTCTTCCCAAATTGTCCATTTTTGTGGACTATCTGAGCGTCAATTAGAGAGACATTACTGTAGTTAGGACATTATTCATCGCATACTAAAGGATTTTTTATCCGTAAATAAAAAAAAAATAAATAAATAATAATCATAATAATACTCTACACGAGCCCCCAGTCCGTCTCCACCTTCCGTCGAGCAGTCCGACCGCGATCTATCGATCCTCGAACTTGTATCAACGATCTCCAAATTCGAGCAACGATGCAGACAGGTTGCACGTCTCTAAGAAGATCACCGATAGATCATCGGACATCTCGATCTAGACGGCTTCAATCCGTCTCCACTTTCCGTCAAGCAGTCGGAGCGCGATCTATCGATCCCTGACACGAAGGAACGCCGGAGACAAGCTCGGCGATCGAAGGAGGTTGCCAGTCAGTCATCAGACAGCCGGAACTGTTGATTGCGACGCGTTACCGATTTCACGGCCGCGTACGTGCCGTGAAAATGATCTCTCGCGGCGAAAGCGACGCGATCTTGAACCTCGTCGCTGACTATCGGCCCCGGCCGTGCTCTATACTCTGTATCCGATACCGCCGGATGGTTTCCGGTTCGCCGGTCCGGTATCGTCGGACGCCGGTGATTTTCTGCATCGCGATCCATGCTGATGCGGGGGCAGCCCGCTTTATGGTTCGCCTCGCACGCCAACGAAACCCTCGTTGTTATTATTATTATTATTATTATTATCATATCTGGCCCTGACCACGAATCAGCCGCGGCAACATTAGTCGCGGTATGCAGGCCACCGGTTTGAAGTTCGCTTATATCCGGCTGCCGGGGCCCGGTAATCTATGCGCCGGTAATGAAGGAGTTTTGCCGCAGGAAAATGACTCCCGGCCGGCTTTTACGAGCCATTAAAGCGATCGCCGGTCGTAGCTGGGTCAGTAGTGGCATCCGACGCTGGCCGAACCTTTTTCCCGGGTGCTTTACGACGTCCAGCTTGGATATTAGACTGTTCGGTCGCGTCGCCGCGGATCCATTACCGAACATCGCGCCGAGAAACTTCTCGACGATTCTTCTCTCTCTATTTTCTTCCTTTTCTCTCTGTCTCTGTCTCTGCCCCCCCCCTCTCTCTCTCTCTCTCTCTCTCTCTCTCTCTCACTCCGTTATTCTTTGGTTTCACACGAAAACAGAAATAAAAGGAACGAGAAACTGTTCCGCCGCGTACTTTCTACTCGGACCGCGCTTCCCCCCTCCCGCCCCCCCCTACGGTCGCGCCGGCATGTTTACACGGCGCTCATTAAGTCGTATCTGGTTCAGGTATCAATGGATCCGCCGCGGATGTACACGCATACACTACTTTCACTCGTTTTCATAAATATCGGAGCGGCCGCGAACGCCGTCGTTGCACGGCTCTCCCTCTGTATATCTCTCTCTGGAACGCGTGCGCGCGTGTTGGAGGCGTGTACATAACGAGTATGCGAGTTTTCGCAGGTGCTACCAAGTCTGACACGGCGTGGTTTGTTTTCTTTGGGACTGGACGCCAGCGCGGCGCACGCCATCTCTTTATTACAAAAGAACAACGGGGGCAGTAACAAAATAGCACACGGGGTCGAGTAATTAAATAAATACTAACATAAGTCGTGTTAGCCGCAGGAAATAAATAACAAGGCTAGTAATGCTATACATGGAACGAGTATCTCGACGAGGCACTGGTTCGTGATAAGGGTGGTGGGGTGGGGGGAAAAGACAGGATCGAAAAGATAGGACCAGAGAGACAAGAGAAAAGAGAGGATCGGAGAGACAGGCGAGTAGGAACAGACGGTGGACAGACAACCGGAAGGAAGACGATCGATAGGAACAAATAAATAAACGAAGCGAGGGGCGAAGTCGGAGATCGGCGAAGAACGATGCGGAAGAACGAAGGTCGGAGAAAGGGAGAATGGAAAGTGGAGGTCGAAATCGTGTCTATCCGCTTCATGCTTGCGGTTGAGGTTGATGGGCGCGATAGGCCAACTCGTGGGCATCCTGGGGCAGGCTCCTGGCCCATCCGTGGCCACTGCCGCCGGAGTAACCGCCGCCATAGTCGGCGCCACCGCCACCATAACCGCCGCCACCGTGTCCTTCGTCGTGGCTGACTACGTGGCTGCTGCTGTGATGGGGATGCGAGACCACCTCGTACGTCACGTGCTTACCGCCCGAGCTGAGCAGCTTCTTCAGGCCGATGATCGCGGAGATCACCAGCGCGATCTTGCCGACCAGCAACGCTTTGCCGGCGATCGCGGCGATCGCGCCCAAGGCCAAGGGCAACAGGGCTGCAGCCTTCAGCGCCATGGCCATCAGTAGCGGGCCCAGGATCTTGCCCTTCTCTGCAATTTCACAACGATGTCAGACGCGTCTCGTTAGACGAGAATCTAGGTCTGCTAAACGATAGCTTTTGGTACAGAGGTCTATGGTGGAATCGGCTGGAAAATTCATACAAGGAGAGATCGCTTTTACGGCAATGCTCAGAACACGGGGATTTTATGCCCGCTTCAACCTAGATTCTAGATCATTGTGCACGTTGAAACTTATCGCACAGAATCTAATTTGATTACGTCGTTTATCCCGCGTCCGACCGTTCGGTGCATCTCGCGAACGCGTCGAATCGACGGTATACTTATCGGAAACGGAAACGACGCGCTTTTCCAACTTGGAAGTATGAAGCGTGATCTTTAGTTCGCTCTGCAAAAGTGTCAGCAAAAGTATACCACCGTCGTCGATTACCGTTTCATTTAACCCATGGAACAAGATGCCAATTAAACAGCTCTGTCCCGCTAAGACACTATCCTCCGATCGATTGTTCGAAGATTTTCGAAGATTTTCGAAGATCCGTGATCGCCGACTTATCGATCTCGGTGTCGGAAAGAAATAGTTTCCGCGCGAAGAAACAGTCACGTCTTCGCCAACTCGAAATGGAGACGTGGTAAAAGGAGATCGTCCGTTCGAGCTCGAAAAATGTAGTTTACGAGAGTTTCACCAGGGGCGGCGCTATGGGGTCCTAGAAACGCTGCCCGAGGAGACTCGTCCGATGGAAGCGACAGGTTGACGTCCCGAGGATGGTGTTCATGGCTAATTTGCCGCTCAGCCGGGCACAGGGTCGGCGTACCGTAGCCGCGATTTCTCACCGATCACGATCGCCGCGCGGCTCGTCTCCGTGTCCAGTGGAAGAGCGCCGCGGATTTCCCACGGGGGGGACGGACGGGGAGGGCAAGGATCCCCTCGGCGAAGAAACGAGCGACCCGACCTTTCTCAGCGCGGCAGAGGATCCCGGCAGAAGAAGTGGAATAGGCGAAGGTCAACGCGATCGTACCCCGTGCACACGGGATGGAAAGTATGTCAAAAATCTCGCGCGGCGGGAGATCTCGAGAGGCGTCGTGCGGCCGTCTCTCTTGCACGCTCGTAATCCTCTCCTCGATGCCCGAGGTGTTTTCAAGGGGAAGCGGAACCAGTTCCTCAGTGGGTCAACGTCTCGCGACCAGCTTCCCCGGAGCGTCGTCATCAGCGTCGTTGAATAGAGCTCGCGCACGATATGCCAGCCGTGTGAATCCCGGTTATCTGATACGAGGGCTTAATTACCAACCGGGGTAATTGGTTGATTGCGTTAATAAAGCGTTTTAATTTCACGCCGGCCGTTCCACGGCGGCGAATCAGCGCGCGGCGCGCGGGGTCGTGGGAACTGGGGAGATCTCCTCGCATGATTCGCCTAATGAATACGAACCGTTCTTCGTCCTTCTTCCCGTGATATTGAATTCGATTAGCCGGCCGGAGCTTGGGAAATCGTCCCGAGGGGATAACCGCGGAAGCGCGCATCATCATACTCACTCTTTTTGCCTCGACTCTCCACAGCGTTGTCGGTGAAGTCCTCGAAACTGCGGCCGGCAGACTCGATGGCCCCGAGGATGTCGGTGCCCTTGAGGTCAACCTTGACCGTGTGCGTTCTCAGGAATCTTCCCAGCCTGTCCAACAGCAGCGTCTCCAGGTCGCTGGACTCGATCGACCTGCGGAATGACGATTCAACGTCAGTCACCTCTGACTAAGGAACTCGGACAAGTTTGCTATATCGGCGAAGGTCGATCTACGGTGATTTATAGTCTGCCTTTCGGAGGAAGACACACCTGGAACGTCTACTTGGGACTTCCAACACGCGACTTGCGTGTCCTCTTCCCGAGAATCGACCATAGAAATGCTCGGACCGCGGACGTTATATGTTCGCGACGAGAAGCAATTGTTGCAAATTCAAAACAGCGGAAAGATGGAAAGAGTTTAAGCGTACTACATCGGTCATAGACGTTTCTTTGAATTGACGGAGACAATGGCGTCTCTTGCGCGAAACGATCCGCGGTCTTATTCGATAGAATGCAGATAGAACGATTCACAAGCAACGGACCTCGGCGCTCCTTCCTCGGTGTTCGACGTCTTGACGACGGTGATGCCATCGGTGAGGGTGATATCCTCTTTGTCGGCGAGCATCTTGTCCACGTAGGAGAATACTTTGTACTTGATGCAGTTGATGGACTCCTTCTTGAGGCAGTCGCTGTAGATGGTGGCCATCAGGTCGTTCTCGTTGCCGGACTTCTCGTTGGCCGGCAGCGTGAGCGCCGCGGCGAACACCGGAAGTAGCCACAGAACGGTCACAGTGTACTTGCTCATGGTTCCCAGGTAGTCGTACTTAAATCACCACCGAAAACAACGAGATGCGGACAGAGGAGGAACCACCGGGTGGTCTTCGGTTATCCTGAGCGTTCCTCTGCGAGTGTCGGCCTATGCCTAGACCTGCTGGCTGCGCTGTTCGAGACCTTGGTGAACGGTGGACGCCGGGATGCGTCGATCGAACCTCGTGTGTTACATCCAAAAGAGGTTGCATTGCTTTTATACCGAAGTATCGCACGAGGGGAGACCCGGCGAGCTACGGGCCACCGAGAGTTCGCGTTCGCTTGGTGCGCGCGCGTGGTCTCCGTCTCTCTCTCTCTCCCGCTTCCCTTCTCTCTCTCTCTCTCTCTCTCTCTCTCGCTCGCGCTCTCTCTCCCTTTTATCTCGCTCTTTCACTTCGCTTCGCTCCCCCCTATGCAACTCTTTGCACGGTACCCCGAGCCCCCACTCCAGATCCTGTCCGCGAAACTGGAGTTCCACGGGGCCCACTACTCCGCGAGGTCCTCCTCTCCCTTTCGGCCAGCCCTCTCTTCCCCCCGTTGCTCCCCGGGGGCCGTGCGATTTCGGCAGGGCGAAAAAGCCTCTAAGCGAACCAACAGGGCCCCGATATGCGGCTGCGAAATAGGAGAGGGACGCACTTGCATTTTCTTCGCCGGTGTTCGCCCCGTCCTCCTCGGTTCTTCCTACCGAACCTCGTTTCCCTCTTTCCGCGCAAGACCTACTTCGCGGCACCATTAAGGTCCGATGGTAGAAGGGAGACCCCCTCTGGACGCTCGGATGGGATTCAATGAGGGAAATCTACGGCGCAGGCCGTGGGGATGGGTAACCGACGAGATCCGATGGCTCCCTTGTGATTTCTCGCACGACTTTGCCTGCCCCGGGACCACCGATTCGCTGTTACCATCATGAGCAAGAGGTGAACTATCGATAGCTTCGGATAGGTTAGAAAAGCTATCTGTGACTATCGATAGCGCACTATCTCGGTTCTCTATCTTTAGAAGTGCCACGAGGAATACGTATAATATAAAGCCTCGGAGATACAAGCATTCGACGATGCCAAACAATTTGAAGAATATAAATGTTTTATATCGTATGACTTATTCAATATAATAAAAACACAATAGTAAGATACTATACAATGAAGATACAATAATAAAATACAATAAGACAAAAAGCAATAATAAAATACAATATAATAAAAGCAATTGCAATAGACTTTGCAAGTTATGGCAACAACCACCGGTTTTTATTTCCAAAATGAGTGTAGATCGACGTTCTTCGACTTCAGCCTTGGCTGTCTGTCGATATATAATTAATCCTGCTTTGCTAAATATTCTTTTCTACTCTACCGAACATTCCAGTATGCAAAAATATCTTTCGTCTAACTCCGGCAAAGGGTTCAACACATTTCCATTCACTTATAAATAGCAGAAGCATTTAAATAAATATATCGTCGAAGAGGGTCAGAAATATCTAAAAATTCATTTAAATTATCTTCGAATATATTGATTATTCTGATCGAAGCTATCGATAACACCATGAGCCGTCTGCGCAGCTGCGAAGTTTCGCGTCGCTTCGCAGAAATCGGAATGAAGTGTCCGGATTGTTGTTCGCTCGGCGATCCGAGGGAGACGATAATAATGCAGTCACGAGCGCGTACGCGTCGCCTTTCTGTTTTCTTCGGTTGTTCTTCTTCGGTTAGTCAACAGTCGGCAGGCATCGCGGCAGTAAGTCAGTCGGGATGACAACGAAGAGCGCGGGTCGCGACCGGCTGCGACTTTTCTCCGGCCGGTCGGTTTCTCCGGAAGGAAAGAAGGGCTTGTTCAACCTGTTCCCAGCTTCGTTTTGCTTTGGCGTGGCGATTTTCATTTTTAAATACTCTCTACGCTCGCAGTTACTTAACGCGGAAACCGGAGATGCTTCTTTACCATGCGTTGAAGTCACCGGACCGAGAGAACGTAGTGCAATCGTTTTCTTTCTTTAGCTGTTTAGACTGCTGGTTTAGAAATGAAATAGCTCGTCTTTACAGCGTGCCACGGTTCACACTATCCACGCTGAATGCATTAGCTTGTTGTTTAAGCAATCTCTTGTCGTTCTTAAATTTAATCTACTGCGAACAGTATTTTTCGTTGCGCGGAAATGCTAGTTAAATGTTCTAGCATTTTATAATATTTTACCGCCGGTACATTGGTACAATTAACGAATTTTAATACTTAATTTTGTTTTTACCAGAATATTAAATACTGCAGATTTTAGAGAATAAAATGTGCAGGGACAAATATAGCACATTTTAATATTAACGTTATTTTGTGTTCATTTCATATTACGATCAAGATTTTGTTTTTATACGCTCTTGCAAAATACTGCTATAAATATACACGTCTCCAATTCTGTGCACGTTTGTGTTTACATACCTGTGCATTTTGCAAGAATGTATTAAAACAAAACGTTGGTTGCAACGTCGAGCGAATAAAAATATTACGTTCATTGTAAAATACGCGCAATCTTTTTGTCCCGGAGTGTATTCAGCAAAGATTGCTAAACGACGTTTCAATGCCAATTAAGAAACCTCGAAGGACACGAGGAAATTTTATGCAAGCATTCCGGGAGTAGTAAGTAGGATATTTCGAAGATACGGCGGGCTCCACTCGTCTCTCCAGTTAATGACCGTCTTCAATTAACTACCTTTCACCTACGATTTCGCGTAAGCAGCCGGGCCGCGAATTAAATAAATTAGTTCATCCCGGACAGTTGAAAGGCAACATTGTTCGTTCGCCGTCACGTGTACCGTCGGCCATTAATTGTCACAGGTGGTTTCAGCGAGGAAAAATTCGTCGGTAGATGATGGACGCGAGATATTATCTCGGGAACGGGGTCGCTCACCCATTTACAACTGGGTCGAGCGTCGGGCGTTCAATTTCGGCTTCCCTATCTCTCTCGCCACCTGTCTTCATCTCGCCTCGGTCCATTCCCTTTTTTCATCCTGCGTCCTCGTCCCGCCCGAAGATCGTGAGAGGCTCTCCGTTCCGCCTCGTTTCGGGGATCAAGATCGCCGGTTCGCGAGAGCGAACGTCGCCCCGGGCGAAATCATCCACCTGACGCTATACCGATTTCGTACGTTTGCAGCGCGCGCTTGGAATAAAAGGGAAACGCGTATCGACGCTGTATCGCTCCGAATTTTCCCGTTCGAAAGACCTCGCTGTCAAGCATTTACGTTTTCCTCGCTTTGTTATTTGTTCATTTCGAGAAGCAATTTATTTATCGAGCGATTTATTCATTTCTATTTCTCGCGATTATTTATTTCTATCGATTATAATAAAATCTGTAGATGATTAACCCTCAAGGTATTGAAAGATTATTATTTCTATTTCTCGCAATTATTTATTTCCATTAATTATAATAAAATCTGTAGATGATTAACCCTCAAGGTATTGAAAGATTATTATTTCTATTTCTCGCAATTATTTATTTCCATTAATTATAATAAAATCTGTAGATGATTAACCCTCAAGGTATTGAAAGATTATTATTTCTATTTCTCGCAATTATTTATTTCCATTAATTATAATAAAATCTGTAGATGATTAACCCTCAAGGTATTGAAAGATTATTATTTCTATTTCTCGCAATTATTTATTTCCATCAATTATAATAAAATCTGTAGATGATTAACTCTCAAGTTATTGGAAGATTAAGGTCTGCTTAAGGGAGGGTCATTTTATATCCAAGAAATACTGTTAAATAAATACTATAAATACTATTTCTTCTGTCCAAGGTATATTTATTTAGACAGCGCTCTTGTACGATACATTTAAGGACCTGCAAAAATAAAATAAAAAGAATGTATAAAAGAACATTGTTAGAACAATAATACATGCTTAAAATACTGTGGACATTTTTTGGCCCTCCCTTTAAGTATGCTAGAATTAAAATATGCGGTAAAATGCCGAGTCTACGGCTAAACGATGTTTATAGTCAAGAAACTGGAGTGACCTAGAAAATGATTTCCTGTGGCAGATCCATGTTTATAAACGAATGACAGGTAATTGGTGTGACGTGGGATCCGATTTCCTGTAGCGATCCTATGTTTATGGACCGTCGTGCAACTGCATCGAGTTTCAATTTCTGACACCTCCACTTTTATACTGCAGCAGAATTGATCTTACTGTTCCTTTGCTGTTCCCATTCATGTGCTTTCACAAATCATAGAACCGTCTTAATTTAATGTTTCTCGAACGGCGTCGGTCTACGTTCGATCTTGTTTCTGCACACGATAGAAACGAATTGATAACCGTGCCTTGACATATGTAATTTTTAGTTTAATTTTGTAACTTCGTGTTCGTGCCTGAGAGAGGAAACTCGCCGCATTTCTTATGGCCAATATAATTTTATCAATAGATTGATTGGAAAGGTAAACTTTTACAGCAACAACGTTCGTTTGCCTCTGCGACTCTCAGATCTTCCGACGCAGTTTACACTGTGTATTCGCTATCTAAATTATTAGTTTGTATCATGTTACGTGATCGAAAGGGCAATTAACAGAAGTTTAACCTTTTGCCATATTTTGACGAGTTCGACTCGTCATGAAGATTTTTAATAGTAACTTATTGAGTATAGATGTTATTCTGTCCTTTAAAACTGGAATAAAATTCTAATCTCTTATCATTAATATTTAAGCATTCAAGTAAATTTTTAGGTATACAATAAGCATCAATTTCCTTTCGCTTCTAAGAAATTATTGCAATCGAAAAATTTCTAATCGCAGTAACTGCGAAGAAAATGATACGTCAAGGGGTTAAGTAAATAAATAAGTAAATCAAAAAAAGAGCTAAAATCGAATAGAATTTCCCTCGCCAAGGTTTCCCAATTCTGGCATCAACAGAAGCGACAATTTCGTCAGATCTGTCGAGGCCTACCAAAAAGCATTTGCATCAAAGACCAACGAATGCCGAACCGGCTAGATCCCTCTCGAATTCGACGATCTTGGTGGAGGACCGAAGCAGCACACTTTCGTTCGATCAAGAAAGTCGCCGAAAGTCGAAATGCTTATCGAAAGTGCCATTGCACGTGTGCCTCGAAGTCATCGAACCGGGGGTTCAGATTATCATCGATACAAACCTGGCCTCATAGATGAGCCCTTCTTTTGTCTTCAATTAGGCGGCCAATGGCTCGCGATCGAGGGAAAAGATAGATGACGACGA